AGAATATGAGAATATGAATATGAGCAGAATAAACATCAGAAATAATAACGTAAAGTGACTTGAATGGGAGATGTCTCTCAGCTGAACTGGGAACGCCTCAGGATTCCCCCGGATGAGCTGGAGGAGGTGTGTGTAGAGGGAAATCTGGGCTTCTCTGTTTAGACTGCTGCCTCTGCGATCGGCAAAGGATAAAGCGGACGAAAATGGATAGATGTGTTGGTGTTAATCTAGTGGCCATGAAACACATTAGTGTTTTGAGGGAGAATGAAATCCCACAGGGGGAGCCGAATCAAATTCTGTCTGATTCCACTGACCTGAGCTCAATAACATAAAAAACATGTCATTGTCATTCTCATCGTTGCATCAGTAACTGAGGCGACTCACAGGAATGTTCCTTCAGTGATATCATTCCTTTGCATTTATATACTGATACTTAAATCCTTACAAAATTAGCTCACAGTATAAACTTGAAATGCCTAAGTAAATATTCTCAAGTTCGAAGGGACAAAAATTAACCCAAAAAACACAAAATATGTGTTCTTTAAGCCTTTCACCACACGTTCACCCATTATTCAGTTTAATATCATTAACTTTTCAAAGCGGATTGGTTTGTTGATACTAAAGGGGCCAAGTCTCAACGACAGACAGCAGTGAAAAGCTGTATTATCCCATCATTATTTCCCACCAACGTCTCTTTGAAGCAGCAAATTAAATATCGAATGAGTTTGTGTCGAAGCGGGTTTGATCACTCACTGACAGACGCCACACAATTACTCTAAGCATCTGTAATGACTTGTTGCACCCTTTTGCCAAGTCGCTCCATTGAAAAGAGTTAGCCATGAAATGCTTACACTAAACAAAAGAGAATAAAAATAAAGGTGAAAAACTCCAGGTGTGAATTTGAGTCATCGTGTTAGGACCTGTTTCGCTGAAGTAATTTTGACATCTAACAATATTAGGGTTTTGTTCGGGAAAAAGTGACAGTTGAATTGCAGGAGAGCACAGGTTGAAAAGGGCATTGATTAGATAAGATCACCGTTCATCCCACAGGGGAAATGTCAGTGTTGCAGGCCACATTACCAAACAGTTTGAACAGAAGGAGGATTCAAAATAAGACAGTAACCATATGCAGTAATCGTTTCCTCTTGTCATTTTTTTGAGTTATTTATGTATTTTTGAGCTGTATACGTCTGCATTCAAGCCGCCATTGCTCTGACGGTCCCCTTTTTGTTTGGGGGGGTTGAGGAATCTCAGATACACAAATGATTCAGAAGAAAGAATGAAAAAAAAATGATCGGCTTCTTGTCCTTGTGATCTGCTGCTGCTATGAATACCCTTTGAGGCGATGACAAGATCCAGGCACTAATCAACAGTTATATTGAAATTAAAATATAATGATATAATTATAGTGATCATAATCCATGTTTGTCATAAAATACTGTTAAATAAAGTTCTAAATTATTAAGTGACCATTCAAAGATTAATTAATTATGGTAATAAAAAAGTATGGTCACATGAGGTAGAAAAAATTAAAAAAATAAGGACAGTTTCCCCATAAGGAAATTTGTCCTGAATTTGACCCATTTCTAAACAAAATAAAAATGAAACAACACTCAATTACACTTGGTGGTTAGGGGGAAACCGGAACACCTGGAGGAAACCGGGAGAAACTCCATGTATTATATTTGCTTGATGAAGGCATAACGCTGAAACGCCGCACTTGCAATAAATTATTTTTTATTTGCAAGTAAGACAGTGTGCGATGTGCGAATCCTTACTCCAGAAACTCTGTAGAAAGGTGAGTGCTACCCAGTCAGTCACCGTGCGTCTAGAAATGGGGACAGTTTAGCTATGTCCGTTATTCACTAGGGCAACAGTTCTGCATGCATTTTTTTCCTAACCAATATTGCATTAAACAGCAACAAATGCAAGAAGACCAAACTGGAAACACCTCATATACCTGACCGCCTTATCATTAAGTCAAGCAAGTGCTATTAAAGTAGAAACATTATAGATTATGTTTAGCTGTTGATAATTATAGCGAGACCGTTTACTTTGTCATTTCATATTTTAGAATGTGAAATCATATTCTAAGTAGAAAATACATGGTGAAACAAGCATGCAGGGTAGAAAAGCTTTCCACCTGTAGCTCCCCATTACTGCCACCAGAGGGAGTTGAATTTGTTGTTTATTTACCCTCAAAACTCGAAAAGTACCAGGCACGAAGACAGATGGATCTAAAATCATCTCCAGATCTGTTTATCTGCCTGTAAAAGGGTTAAAAGTGCGAAAAAAAAATGTTGCTTAATATGTCTCCTTTAGGCACAGACTAACAAAATCCAATAATAACGGCCATCTTTCATCAGATCTGCTAATTGATACGTAGAGATACAGCTCTACCTGCTTGTGCACCATAAACTGGACCGGGCAGGGTTGAGAAGGGAGTGAGGGAGGGGTGTGTCAAGGGGTGAGACTAGTTTGGAGGCTCTGCTGATATCAGAGCTCTTTTATAACTGCTGCTCTGCGCTTTGAAGTCGCAGCCAGACAGCTCAGGAATCTTACTCCCCCGTTTGACAATGAGGAGGGGGGAGGGTTCAAGCTAAACACTGGCTTTGGTCATTTGCCTCCTATATGAAATCTGCAAATCTGCAATTCTGGACATCTTCAAACAGCTCATCAAATGGTGTGCAAGGAGACAGAGAGAGAGAAAGAGAGAGAGAGAGAGGGGTTTTGGTCGTATGTGAAACCGATTAGAGCGTATAATGGACTGAAACTGACATTACCAGCCAGAAACGTAAAATCTGTGAAAATAATAATGACACGTTTATTGGTTGCAGAGTGGCATTTGCTATAATATGTGTGTAATCCAAAGCATACAGAGCAGAGAGGACAAATATTTCACAACTCAGCCAGATATTCATGTGTAGTAACCCCTCAAATAGTCCAAGATTAGGGCAGTAGTAGTGGGAGTGCATAGGTTAGTCGACTTATCAGGAATAGATATATTAATAACATTAATTGTGATCATTAAGTGGACTAATACACACTCTTGGACACTTTGACAGGCTTTCAGAGCAAAGACAGTAGCATCTTTAAGAACATTTTCATAAATAATGCACTTAAAGCTGCACTAACTGACTTTGGGATTTTGAAGCCGCGGACACGCTGGCCTCTCTCTTTCTGCTCCCCTCCCCGCACCCACGAAGCTATCGCCCCCTGCTACCGCACACACACTGTTGTTGACGGAGCTAGCGTCTCCCGATATGGATAATACATGGATATGGATTTGAACGTGGATGGCGTGGCCATAGAACGATAGAACCTGGAAGCGCGGAGGAACTTTCTTTTGGATGGCTGTCTCGCTGTGTAAGCAGTAACCGGTGACGAAGACGAGGAAGTTTCAGGTTAGCTCCTCGGCTTGTTGTGCTAACTCAGCCGTCTATGCTAACGACGGACCTGTAGATTTCTCACAAAAGTGGAGGCCAGTGGTTCGCTGTGATTGGTCACAATCTGCGACCCGAAATACATTCTCTTCCTTGTTTCATCAAAACTCGATCTAAAATATAATGTCACGCCAGCACAAATCTGCGCTACTTTTTCTTCAAAAGGAGGTATATCCCAATGCACTGCATGGACATGGATAGCATTTTCGTAATGAATACAAAAATAAAGTCAGTTAGTGCAGCTTTAATTGTTTTCATCTTTTTCTCAAAGCGTCAAATTTCAACCTCTTTTTGGAAAAAAATCTCAAAGTCCTGACACAATATTAGTTGGATGATATGACTAAATGAAAATGAAAATTAAGAGAATACTCAAAACCACTGAAATAACAGCCCTATAACACAAAATGCACTAAAATGGATTTTTGTTCATCAAGACAATGATCATTTTAAAAATGGCTTGTAAGTAGTATAAGTAATCTTAGTTTATTAATATAGCGCATCACCCAAAGCGCATCGAAGCCTCCAACCAACACCACCCACTCACTCACTCACACATTCATACCTATTGTGCATGTTTTTAGTGGTAGGGGAAACTGGAGCACCTGGAGGAAACCGGCGCCCTCGGAGGGAACCGGAGCAAACACGGGGAGAACATACAAACTCCACTCAAAGGCCCTATTCCGACCGGGATTCGAACAGAGGACCTTCTTGCTGAGTAGCGAGTATGTACTGTAACAATATAACAAAAAGCAGCAATCCCATTATTTGCCGCCCAAACACACTCTAATGCCTCCCACAATAAAAAGTGGTTAATCAAAAATCTCTTCTGGTTCTGCTCTGTTAAAATCATCAACTAACAACATAAATTAAACAGAACAGCTTTGACAGGTCGAGGGTGGGATCGCTGCTCTAATAAGTGCCAGTCCTTTCGGTGGTTTTGCTTCAGGGGAATGTGTGGGAATGGGGGGAGTCCAATTCATCTGAAGATCTGTTAAACTGCGAGTGGGCGGTTTACAAGCCAGATATTATCCATAACTCTTCCTCTATTACAACCACCCACCGTACAAATTGTCAGCACCTCTGTGTGAACCCCTTTAGACAGACCCAGTTGTATTCTTCAAATGGCTGTAATTGCGGTGATGTAATGCCATGCCCCAGTGCACTTCCTAACAGTTAAAAGCAGCTTCATAAGAGGAGAGCAATAAGACAGTACTGAGTCTAATTTGCAGAAGTACAACATCTTAAAGGGAGGAAAGCAAAGCATATTGAAATTATAGGAAATCTGGGATCCTGCAGTTTTCCCTTACACAACATACAATTTCAATATATGCATTTCTGGCTGTTTCTAGTCAGTTTTTTAGCAATAGAAAGAAATTATCAGCTCTATCCAGACGACTTGGAACTAAACCACTTCAAACATTGTTGGACTTTGTGTAACCAATTCACCTTTTATGCATGTAGACACCTCCTTTTTACTTCCCAAGAATATAGCACAGGTTATTACTCCAAAATTGTTCACACTGGAGGGGAAATGTTTGAGAAATAGAAGCATCCTACCTGCATGCTCTTCAGCTTGTGGTCCGCGACGCTGTATCGCTCGCACTCCTCCATCCCTCTCCTCAGGAACGCGTTCACCACAAAACTATCACCTAAATGCAAACAAAACAGATATCTCATAAGAGCGCTGCATTCATTCAAAAACGTACAGTTAAATGTTATGGATTCAATGCACTCACCTTCGGGGTTTTCTCTGCGCTTACACGCTTCAAAGCCAATCATTACGAACGAGGGAAGAATCATAAAGATGTGTTATTTTTGTGCATAACTACATGGACGCATTGATAAAAGCATTGTTACGTGAGTGGATTCTTACCGTGTTTCGACTGAAGTTTGCCCATTCTGAAAGGCGTTCTTATATCGATTAGGGGTACTCCACATCCGACAGGGGAAAAGCACTCGCTCACTGAGAACGGTCACATTGTGAACAAAACTCCAACTTCATCCAATGGCCAGAATAAACGCGGATCTGACATTGAAATCCAGATCCGGTGTGAGTGAAGAGGACGCGAGGGTGGAATGAATGGATGAAAGGGAGCGGAGCGCGCTTGTATCCGTCTGATGTCGCGTCTCTCCAGCCTCTCTCTGAGCGTGGAGCGCTTTGAACACGGCACGTTCCGCGGCGCTGCTGTTAAGTCCCACTGCGCGTGCGCACAACATCCGCCTGTCAGGGTTAAGAGAATAAAGGTCCTTTTATTTAGCCCGAATTTAGGCCAAGGAAAGTCATAGTCAAGGAACTCGTTAACAATCTTCTATCTTCAATATATTTTTAAACTGCTATTGAACCTGCTGCTAAACATTCTTGCACCCTCGTGTATTATAGATGTATCTATAGATCTATACTTTTTACATGTTGTTTCTTTATTTAGCTTGTGCTGCAACACTGACATTTCCTCACAGTTGGAAGAATAAAGGATTTCCTAATATCACAAATAGGCATACTTTTAATCGCAGTGTATCATGGTTATCAATTGGACAATTCATCTCACATCTTATTCATCCTATACACACACTATTCGTTGGTGTGTAGGGAACTCATTCTACCACAGATCTTCTCTGCTGCAACTTGACAAACTCAAGACTCATGTGTTGCTGGCAGCACTGGGTTATAAGGGCGCCCTCTGGAGGGAAAAATAAATATCGAACTGTAGGCTGCGAATTAGGAAGCGTTCACACTCCAGTTCCAAGTGATCCAGAATTACCTTGAAGTGGGGCAACATATACAAATACCTAATTTGTGGAGATGTGAAACCACAAAAATCACTTCCAGCAAAAGATTACTGCAACAGTGTATTTTTGTTTCACATTTCCACAGATTAAGCATTTTTAAACACTAATTGATTTGAGTTGTACACCACAACCCCCCTTTAATTGCACTGTTACTCACTGCAATTTCTATATTTATATCCATATTTCCATTATTCATGTAAGTCTAGAGACACTCAAACAGTCAAAAGGATGGCGGTCTCCTCGTGTTCTTGCAGATTTGGCCGAAAACGCACCACAGTTGAACCAAAGTCAGTGCCACCGCAACCAAAACAATGTAAATACTAACCGTGGCCTCACATCTATGGGTATGTGCTGTTCCGGAGCGAGGCCTTGGTGCGTTGCTGGTTTGTTGCTGCCGGTGCCTGCTGCAATATGATACTGTTTAACAGAGGTGGGAATCAATATGCTTTTTCTTCCAGGGTATTTTAGTTTAATCACGTATGTATTTAATATTGTAATAAGTCATTGCTTATGAAGATTTTTTTGAAAATTGCCTTCACTGACATTTGATAGCAACTGTATGTACTGCACCAAAGACGTAAAACTTCAGACATCTGGTATGGAATAGAATGGCCGACTGTTGATGTGGTGATGGGGAGGAGGGGGGTTGCGGCACGAGCTGAAAGCTGAGTGAAGAACGCGAGGCACTGTTTAAATGCAGCCAGGTGGAAGATGGAGTGATTATAAGAGTCACGGGTTTGTAGAAGTGTTGGAGTGAAGCATTAAATAGTAAGACTTCAGATGCAGATTCAAACGTTCTGTCTTCTGTCCGAAAAAACAAACAAAACGTTTCCAATCGTGAATCCACCTGCAACAAATATTTGCACAGTTTCAGTGCTGTCAGAGCTGTGTGCAGTGGATGCTGAAGATAAATGAATGTTTATACAAGAAAGCTGGCAGGCCTCACAGAAGCCCACCAGACACCACCTTCTTTCAACGCCTTTTACAGTTTGTTTTCGTTGGCACAACCTTAAAGCGATGACTTTCCAATCCATGCCAACAAGGTATGAATATTCATTTAGCAAAGCAACTAACAGGAATTATGCCCTTGTTTAAATAGTTTAATGTTAAATGTTTACTTACAAGTCCAAGCAGCTGCATGTGATTGTCAGGGAGGATATAATTACTTCTAGATTTCAATCTGTTTACAAGAGGTTTTTATGATTCTATGTGGTTGATTGGACATTAGGGGCTCACTCCATGATAAAACCCAACTTTCAAATCACAAAATATTGTAATAAAATTAATATAACTTGCTCCTCCTCATCATTAGTTTTCACATGTATGTATTGTTAGTCTCTGTCACAGCTTCATTTATTTTTTTTAGACAGAAAAGTGAAAGAGAACCATAAAGTTCTCAGGCCAAAGCGTCACATAGTCACTCACCAGGCTCCTTTTTCAAGTTTGCAAAGGGATTTCTAATGATCTTTTAAGGCATTGTATTGGATCACAACTTATTTTCTCCTTCTGTTTAAACAAACAATATGTAGGTATCATTATTTATTATAACCCTCATGGACATTGTAAGGACTTGGATCAAATGGAGTAGAAAATAATAAACATAGAAACATCACCGTCACTATAGAAATACATTGTCTTAAAGCTGTAGTACAAAGTGTTTTAGCCTAAGAGTTAATGACATGTGTTCCTTCTACTGTTAATGGGCTTGCATCTCCACAAAGTACTTGGAGAATGGCCGTTTGTTTTCATGGAAATCTTTGGCTGTAATCTTCCACAATCTCACAAAACATATTTCCAGAGAATGATCAATACCGTGGTCTTAATGCTTCGTTCTGTAGCTATCATAAGATCAGCTGCAGTATATTAAATAGTTGATCTGATACTCAAAGGGTGTGGTGCATGATCGCGTGTGTTTTTGGGTTTCTTTTATTACCAAATCATTTTAGAAACATTATTTCCAACTAACGACCTTCCCATGCCACAGTGGAAGCTCAAATGTTAGAATTCAGAGCAAAAACATTTCATTTGTGAGATGAAGGAATCAACAAAAAGACTGCAGCTCTTTTAGGGCCAATGTTCAGAGGGATGAAAGCGCTGGTTTATCATCAAAGGCTCCCACAACAGTGAAGAATGGATAAGTCCGTGAACTGTGACAGTTTTATGACAACTCATTAGTCGTTTCTGCTGGATTCAGAGCAGTGTACCGGCCAAAAGCATATATTGTTATAAAACTAGACGCACAAAACCGAAATGGTATCATAAATACTTCTACCATTAAATATGTGATGTAAATTTAGATGGAAAATAGAGCTGTTTTCACACGTACTCCTAACTTATATTCTCATATAAGAGCTCTTATTTCGACTCCTGGACCTGGATTTTTGGCAGTACTGGAAGAGCACCACCTGTAGGGAGGAATACACAACCTTTTGTTTATAAAAATAATACAAATACCCTCCCAACAGAAAGGTCTAGTAAAAGTAAAATGTTGTAAACAATCAGACCACTACATGCTGTCCTCATCCCAGTATAAAACACGTTATCATTTGCTGTTGGCCCAAAGTGTCAAATAGTGACTCACAGGGCTCTCTTTTTCACTTTTCTGTCTGAAAAAGGTGATTTAAATATGGGATAGAGGCAACTAAGGGGGGGCTTGGATAGATTTGATATACATTCCAAATTAGGTTCCTCAGCTTTAATGGTAGATGTACAGTTGCATGTATTTTCGGGCTACAGCTTTATAACAGCTTTTTCAAACAGCTTTCAGCCCAAAGTGTCAAATAGTGACTCCCAGGGATCTTTCCTAAAGGGAAAGAAAAGATAACATATTTTCTAGTCAGATGGAGAGCGCATGCTGTGGCCTAATTTAATCACAAAATGTTACTTTTTTAAGACATCTTCTGCAGGGACAATAAATATGTATTTGAGGGGGAAAAGTAAGGTAACCCAGCTTTAAGTATGTAATTTTTATTCAGTTGTAAACTGTAGTTTCCATAAAAGGCCTACACGTTGTAATGTGTCTGCTTGTGTAGTGAGCCCTCTTTATATGAATCACTATTGGCACCAGCTCCAATATTCCACAGCTTTGAGCCATGTACCTGAACAATCACAGGATAAACATCAGTTGTTTTGTTTGGAGTTTCTCTGACATTTTGAAACAGTGATAAAAACTTTGTAACAATTCCCTCTTTTGAGTTTCCTTTCCTCGCTGCTTTGATTGCCTCCCGACAGCTCTTGGATCAACTACAGTCAAGAAGGAATAAAAAAGCTTTCAGACAGGCCAATTATAGGGTTATTTACAATGACCGTCCTTTAGCTGCACTCCAGAGAGAAGAGAACGGCTTCCGTGTGTGATTCATCCAACATAATTGACTTAAGAAAATAGTTCGTGCAGCACAGCAAACAATTAACGGCAAAGATTATATAGATTTAAACATATATACTTTTCGCAAATAGTAACAAAGGGGAAATCCAGTTTGACTCTATCTCTTTTTAATGCAACTTAAGTAGAGCCGTCTTTGTATTTGTATGCAGCTCTGCACTAAAAAAACATCTAAAGTTATGGTTATAAAGCGTGACAAAAAAAGTTAAGTATTTTTCCTTTCTTTTAGAGCAGCCGATAGTACTATGCACCTTTGAAGTGCAGTAAAAAAGCTGTTGGCCAACAACAAACAAAGGCCTTATTGTCGGTTCTTGTGCAGCTGACATGCAAAGCAGCGGAGCATTCATTCACAGAATTCAAAACATGCTTGTATGAACAATGGGGCCTCTCATCATCCATCTAAACTATGTCTGATGCTCTGTGGAAAAAGATTAAGCCATCTTCCAACTGTTTGGCTTTAGGGGAAATCTGAAAGCCAGTGCACACCCATGACATACGCACATTACATTACTATTACAAAAATCTTATCACCTCCCGGGGCAGTTTGCATAAAGGGCAAAGATTGCAATTATTCGTCTGAATTGTTCATGATTATTTAAGAGTTATTAAAACATTTATTAAGCCTAAATAAGGTGTAGTTATTATAAAGTGTTACCGAAATACACATAAATCAGGGCTCTAAAAAGAAATTCACAGGCTACTACAAATTGTCCTGGAAGCTAGTATTTCTTAATGAGGGTATTTAGACTGACTTGAAGTTGCATGTAAAAGGAAAGTCCAGTCTTATTGTGAGTATTTTGTCTTGTTTTAATAATAACAAGATGAAAGGATCCGCACAACAGCAGTAGCAGCTCCATGTATTCACACCACGCTTCGGGCAGCACCCTTCATCAGGACACAGTTGTGCACGTACTTTTACCTTGTTACAATTTCATGTTTTTCATGTATTACTTTTGACCCAGCTACAAGATAGTGGATTCCTATCTACATTGTTTGGTCTTTTGTTAATCCCAGGAATTTTTATTTTGAATCAGAAATGGCTTGTCATTTTATCACTGACGTGGCAAGCGAAACATGAGCAAAGTATGTTCTTTCCTCATGTTTAAAAATTCATTCAAAGGATTTCTCAAAGCGCACAAAATTCCCACCTTCTAAATCGTGCAGCCTCCTCACAATCACCTGTAAAACTGGTTTTGGATGTTACCACTGTTCTCATTTCAGAGACCAAGATGATGATCATAAAAGTTGCATGTTTTTTTTTTGTTATTTCAAACATTTTACCTTCATAAAAAACTTCCTGTAAACATCCTCTAGTGGTGGGATTTTGAAACGACCATTGTATCGTCAAACAGAACCGACAACGTCACGGTTTTATTACAACTTCATATATATATATAAAAATATGTTTAAACAAAAATACAGTAAACAGCATTGAACATATTGCTAAAGGATTATATGAATACATACAAAACAACAGAAAAATGCCCAACAAAAAAATTAAAAGTACCTAGGCCTGTTACAATAGTTACTACTGACTTCTTGTTAAATAAATAAAAGGCAAAATATATTCGCACCATATATTTCTTATCTTACATATTTTCAGTAATAATAAAAAGGTATTTTCTGTTTGGTTTTTACTGTAAACAAAGAACAGATTTGAGGGTCAAATTCTATGGCTAGTTATTGGTTCTACAATTATCTTTCCATTAAAATAAGCTATATCTGCATTAGTTATTGTGCCAGGCCTAGTTATCGCTACATTCTGTATAAAAGTAAACCGTTGACATGAACTGAATTCAAAACGTGTTATTAAACAACACAAAAGCAGTAGGCAGTTTTAAAATGTGTTGTGTTTTGTTATTACCACAAAGTGATAAATACTGCAAGTAATGGGAAACCGGACAAATCCAGGTCAGACGCCGTTGACCAAATTATTTTTCTCCTCTTTCTGTTTGTCCACCGCGCTGTCCATCGCAATCAGGAACTTCTCCAGGGACACGGTCTGTGTCTGCGGGCAAATAAAACATTGTAATTAAAAAGCAAACACGCCACTCCTGTGTATATATATTCCAAACAAGAGCTCGTATATATACATACCTTGACAAACATTGCATGGGCGAGAAAAGGTAGTTTCCGGAGAGCCCTTCCACTCAAACCTCTGCTCTTTCTAAGTTGGATAAACATGAGGAAAACATGAGCCTGAGGTGTTTTGGTTCCATGCAGACGGTAATAGTTTAATTGAACGCTGTAGTGTGATTGATGGCCGCACTCACATTGCAATGTTCCTCAGCTTCAGACTGTGCTCGGAGACCTCACTTTTAGCATAGCCCATTGTTTCCAGTTCAAATATGGTGAACAGCTGCTGCCGAGGGTGGACGATCTGGCACTGCACAAATGAGAAGACAAATCTAAATCACAAAAATATGATAATTATCCCAACACAAAGTGGGTGACACAATTTCAACTTCTGAAGAAAAACGACATGAAGACAGAACACACATCTGAATTTTCCGAAGGAAGGTGAAAAGCCTCTTCTTTGAGATTTTACAGAAAGAATTATGAAGATAAAAGAAAAGGGACCCTTGATTTGAGTATTGCGATGCACAGTTCAAGAACAGTAGGAAAATAGATATTCAAGGGTGAGACAACCTGTAAAATAAGTTTTGGGATAAAAAATAAACAAATATAATGAATACATCCTAAAGGTGAATTAAATATCAGTTTTTATGCAGAACCTATTATTTATTTGATGCAATTTTAGACCAAAAAGAGACTTCAAAGGACTACTGCAGATCTGTGTAGCACTTTATCCCACTGCAGAATTCCCTTAGGGCAATAAAGTTGATCTGATCTCATCTAAAGAGTTTAAGTATAAACTAAAAGTACACTGTGCCACGGATTATTAATAAAGGTTATACATTTTATGTCTATGCACAGAGTAGGATTTGGAAAATATACAGCAGATTATAGGGCTGCACGTTTTTTTGTGCAAAATATCAATTTGATTTCGAGAATATAAATACAATATTCCTTGTTACTCCCTCTCAATGCAGGATTATAAATTGTTTTACTTAAAATAGTAAAAAACTATTTCTAACCTGAAACGGAAAATAAAATGTTGCTGTGCTTTAAATATGGTTTACGTTTCATGTTCTATTGGCAAATCCTTAATTAGGAATTACATACCATATCCCCCTAATTTTAGAATATTTTTGCCATTTCAGTTTTGTTGATCAAAGGGGACAGTAACATTTACAAATAACCACTAATATTGTGATTTTGCTGAAATTACACTTACATAAATCTTGCCGTTTTAGAAGGAAGAGACCAACATTGGTATTAATATTACATAATATAGTTGTCAGCGGTCATGTTATGATACACAAACGCATTGTTCTAAAAGTTTGAGCCGTTTTTGTTTCAATACTAATGGTGTTCATGTACAGTTGACAAGTACATCATATTTAATTAAATTCACAATAGGACACACATCATTACTAGCATTAGTTTTGGTCAAAACAGCACAACTGACCTTCATGAGCTCTTCCAGACAGGAGAGGTAGATGTTGTAAATGCCTTTCTCAGATGGAGGGCCTATATACTGCTTAATATCAGCTCTGTCCACAAATGCCAAATCGATCTTTTCTGTCACATTGGAGGTTGTCAGGATCACAACGTTGGAGTGTCTAACAGTTGTGAGAAAACAGAATACAAGCACAGTGTTATAATAAAGTCACACATTTAGAATAAACTATTTTTTTGCACCGTTTGATTTGGTCCAGCTGCGTGAGGACCGAGTTCACGACTCGGATTGCATCGGACGGCTCGGTTCCAGCTTGAGATGCATTCCGTGCGGCTGTAAGACTCTCTACCTACAAAACAGAAACACAACTTTGCATCGTGAACTCTCCTGAAAACAGTTGGAACATGTCACTAAACTGTGGATGAGTTTGACTTATTCCAGGGGCAGTAGCAAGTGTTTTTTGTTTTTTTTATGCAAGTGAAAATTAGCTAATTTCTTAAAAACCATATTTTTTTGTTTCTCCAATTTCAGAAAAAATAAATAAAATCAATCAAGAAAAATATAACCTAATACTTCAAGAGATTTCCGATACACACCATTACACACAGTGATAGTTTCAAAATTAGACTAATATTGGTTTGAAAGAGATAAGCACTTTTGAGCAGTTTTTGTCAGGTGCTCATCAGGATCGGGAGTGAAAAAGGGTGGAAATCCGAGGCACTCTTGACAGTAAATAGAAATCCTTTAATGAACAGGGACGAGCAACGCGTTTCAGCTACGTAGGGCTGTCTTCAGGGCACATAAGAATTTAAAATTTACCGTCAAGAGTGCCTCGCATTTCCTTTCTCCTAAGACAAATTTTGGTCCCAAAACTAGTTGTTCATGCCACAAACAGAATGGAATAATCACTGCAATTAGAATAACCTTGGAATTAATCCATGCCAATCTTGATATATGGATCTAATCAGTATGAGAGACTTGAACAGAAGTACTCCAATCTATTATTTGTTAATGAAATATGCCTCTACTACTTTGGCACTGTGGCCTCTCATGAAAATATTTGCATATCAACACAGTCATCTTCTTACCTCATCTATTAAAACAAACACAAGAGCTTCTTTGTCGTCAATTAGCTGCTGAATTTTTTGAAACATTTTTGTGACCAGTTTTCCACTCTGAAACAAGAAACCCCACTTTAGCTATACAGATTATAGATTATGATAGACATGTATTTAAGAGATTATAACAAAAGTACCTCGGAAAACCACTTTGAGAACAAACTGTGGCTGTTTATCTCCACAAATTGTCCGTATGAATACCTGGAGGGGCAGAAGAGGAGGTAAACATGAAAACATCAGGTGCAGTAAACTCACTGTGGTTGTAATACAATATCAGTTACCGATTTGAAAGTCTGATTGACAGCTTTTGAGCCAGGGCTTTACACAATGAGGTTTTCCCAGTGCCAGGGGGTCCTGCACATAAATAGTGTAAATAGTAACAAACAAAAAACATTGATTAAAAATATGTTTTTTTGCATTAATCATGAATTTTCTCCATTTTACCATGAAGCAAGACAACGCGGTTCCATGAAATCAGGTTACTGTCAACCTTTTTGTCCGAGAAGAAGATCGTGGTTGTGACGTAGTCCAAAAGCTAAGTACAAGCAGCAAGTAAGTCAAGTTCAGAATGGGTGCAAAATGGGTATATAAAAGAAAAAACTAATTAAAGGGGCTACCTGAGTTTTAACCCCACTTTCATAGACCAGACTTTCCCAGATCCCATGGAATTCAGCTTTTATAACATAGAAGCAAAATAACAATTTTTAAACATATTTCTACAATAGCCGTTCTCAAATATACAAGTTTTTGAGCCATAAGAATAAAAAGAACAGCCATAGTTAATATGGTTTTTACTTACTTCGATGTGAATTTCTAATTAACAGCCATTTAATAAGAATAAAAGTAAGTAATAATTTTACCCGCTGGAAGCAACCAGTGATTGGCTGCATAGAGCTCCTCGTCATCTTCTAAATTGAGAGTGCTTGGTCCGTCCTCATTCAAAGTGAAAATGTGCACAGATAGTGAACAGCTCCTTAGATCCAGAGGCTTAAAGTTAAAGAGCAAGCAACAATTAATTATTCTGACAAGGATAACTAGAGATAAATCCTAACTATTGAGGAAGCAGACCTGAGTCACCAGGCCTTCAAGATCAACTATAGACACGGACTGTACATTTCTGCAGAGGAACTCTTCATCAAACTCTGTCCATCTATAATTTCCAAAAATCATGCTGTGTCGGTTTAGCAGAGACAGGACATGGCTCTTCACTTCTGACAGTTTCGCAGTGCTGAAATATATGGGAAAATAACAGAAAAGAGAGCAAGTCAGTATAATTAAAACTATTCCATCACATAAAGCCACTTACCTTTGAGATTTGACATGGACTTCAACATTAACATTTTTGGACTGCACTCCTATCTCCATTCTGGTATCTTTATCTATTGAAAGAAAACATTATGACCGATGCAATAATAAGCCAGTTACACATTTAGAAAGCATTGTTTTGTTAATTGATGATAGTACGGAGGAAAGACAACGTACAAACACTACAAAAAAGAAAATCATTAGATAAGAAATATTAGTAAAAAACAGGTAAAAGTGTGAAGGCTTTTTAATAATAGTATGTGTTGTTATAAAAGAGACATTCAATCACTTTAGTTACATTACAAGTCTTTGTGCAAAATCACAATTGTAACATTAGTCTGCAAACTACTGCTGACCTGTGTACTACATCCTTGCGACTCTTGCAATGTTTTTGATAATAATAATTACAACTTACCTTACTTTAACGTTACTGTGCATTGCAAGACTGAAATATCCCGTCATTGTGAGGGAAAACATAATATTCTAAGACAAAACTACGTAGTATGTCTCTCACTATATCTTCAGAATAAGGCTTTCCTGTAGAATCCTGTAGAATTAATATAATAGATCCATGGTAGAATCCTGGTTATATTATTATTGTCGTGCTTGATGCTAGTTTAGCTGTAGCTAGCGCATGTAGCTGAAGTTTAGCTCCGTCTTCAACATGAATGAGAGAGACGTGTTATTTAAAACGACATCACTTACCATTTATCTTATGTATATTCTTGCATTAGAAACTAAATAAAATGCAACAATAAGAAGTAAAACAGAGAAGAGAGAAGCAGTAAAACGTTTTCGTAAAAAGTCAAATCAGCCGCGCACATCTGCACCGGAAGAACATCCTGTGTTTGGATTCCACGTCCTGTTCACGTAACCTCTGTGTTCTCTCTCTGGCATGGAGGGATTTTGCCTTTTGTTGATGAAATAACTACATATTCTTTTCATCGCGATGGGGAAGAAACACAAGAAGCATAAACCAGAGTGGAGAACAGTCGATGGTAAATATGATGCTATTTAGATGCAAAGAAAAGCCCTTTTGTTTCAGACTGCTAACTAAGCTAAGTGCTAAAGTGTAAACTGGAACGCCCATTATTAATATACATAATTATCTAATGCTCCACCCTGTAAATGTATCACGGAATTGGGAATTTGTTGCTTTTACTGCATTGAAACATATACGCAAAATGCTCCACTAACCTGATCGTACTTCCTGAAGAATATCTTCTGTTTCTTTGGATGGGAATGTTGTGCCTTTGGCTGTAATCTTGCACATTTTGGCCTAACTCGTTAATCTCATCACAGATGTGGATATAGATTGTACTAACTTAGAATAAAATGCATGGTCTCTTCAAAAAGAGGGACATTGGGTCTACTTTGAACAGTGTTTGTTATATTACAGTATTATTACATATATACTTGTACAAACATTTTCATTTTTATAAAATCAGACTATTTGTTAAATCAGACTAAACCATCTCAAACCTTTTAAAGATGGAAACACAAATTGAACATGGAACAATAAAATAAATACAAAAAATGGATCCCATGCACTTGTTCTATCACTTGTGTTACATATTGCCTCCTTTACAAGCATACTTCCTTTCTTTCAATCGGCTCGCCTTCTCACAGATTCATTTGAACAGATCTTCGCAATTGCACAATTTATGTTTAATAGACTACTATAGTTTACAAATAGTTAAATAAAAAATACATATGCTTAAATACTTGATTTACAGCTTTTTTGCTTTTAAATAGAAATAAAGTCCATACAAAATATCTAATAGTTGCCAACTAACTCCAAACTTCTGAAGTCGGCTCCTAACTACCTACATACTTTCCCAAACAAGTTGAAATCCTGCATTGACCATAGAAGGCCGGATATTTAATACTGTCTATGATCACAAGCAGCATATTGACAACAGTTGTATAGATTACACTTGAGTCATCCACTACATTTCTTTTTGCTGCAGACTATGAAGACAAAGCCCTGGAGAAGCCGCTCAAACTTGTGCTCAAAGTTGGAGGCAGTGAAGTGACCGAACTCTCTGGATCGGGTCACGACTCAAGTTACTATGACGACAGATCCGATCCAGAGCGAGAACGACACAAGGACAAAAAGAAAAAGAAGAAGAAGAAGTCTGAGAAGGACAAGGACAAATATGTGGATGATGATGAGAGGAGACGCCGAAAGGTCAGAATCCCAATCAGTAACGGCAAGTGGGAGATGTATTGGATGGGAAGTCATGGATGATACCACAGGGTTGATTTGGAGATTTCCCAGATTAAAATTTGTAAATGTATATGTTGTAATATAAATTCATATGTATTATGAAAGTAAAAGTAAAACCTTAAATTGCAACTATTATCATTGATAATTGTTTAATTAGTAACTGCTCTTTATTCAACAGTTAAGAAATATATATTTTAGGACCCAATCAGAGCAGTAATTACTCAAAATAGAATAAATTGTCAATTTAATGATAACAGAGTGTATTAGAATGTCCTCAAGCCTCTTCACTTCAGGTTTTCTGAGTCAAACACTAATCTGTGTTCTAAAAAAACAAAAGACTTTAGCTTACCTTTATGGCTATTGCTTTGAGCTGAGAGCTGATTAGTTGCGCAAAAGTGGGCCTTTATAGTTACATTTTCCGCCTGAAAAAGCTGATTTAAAGATCCATCCATCCATCCATTTTCTTCCCTTTAATCCATTTCTGGGTCGGTGGGGTGCCAGTCAGAGCTGCACCCAGTACACAGAGCACCAGCCCCTCACTGATCCTCCTGCAGGTGGTGAGTCCACAGGAGCCTTGATTATTTAGCGGGGGCTTCAGGCCTCCCCCCTGGACTGCCACCTTAACGTGGTGGGGGAGTTTGAGTACTCGGGTGATCCTGGGAGCTATGCTGTCTGGGGCTTCATGCCCCTGGTAGGGCCTCCCATGGCAGACAGGTCTCGGGTGACGAGTCAGACGAAGAGCAGTCAGAAGACACCATGGACAGCACAAATATGACAACAGTGACGTCGCCCGGTATGGCGCAGCCGGGGTCCCACCCTGGAGCCAGGCCTGGGGTCGGGGCTCGTATGCGAGCGCCTGGTGGCCGGGCCTTAGCCCACGGGGCCGGGCTGGGCTCAGCCCGAATGGACAACGTGGGCAGTCCCTCCTGTGGGCCGACCACCTGCAGAGGGGTCCGTGGTGGCGAAGCGGTGCAGAGAGGACTGGGCAGCGGTCAAAGGCAGAGACCTCGGCGACCCAGTCCGCACGCGCAACATCTGGCTCTTGGGACGTGGAACGTCACCTCACTGGGGGGGAAGGAGCCCGAGCTTGTTGGGGAGGTTGAGCGATACCGACTAGAGATAGTCGGCCTCACCTCCACACACAGTTTGGGCTCTGGAACCCAACTCCTTGAGAGTGGTTGGACGCTCCACTTTTCTGGTGTTTCTCACGGGGAGAGGCGACGAGCTGGGGTGGCCATACTCATTGCCCCCCATCTCAGCCGCCACGTGTTGGAGTTCTCCCTGGTGAATGAGAGGGTCGCGTCCCTCCGCCTCCGGGTGGGGGACAAGTCTCTCACTGTTGTGACAGCCTACGGGCCCAACGGCAGTGCAGAGTACCCGGCCTTCTTGGAGTTCTTGGGAGGGGTACTGGACGGTGCACCGACCGGGGACTCCGTTATTCTCCTGGGGGACTTCAACGCCCATGTGGGAAATGCCAGTGACACTTGGAGAGGGGTGATCTGGAAGAACGGCCCCCCTGATCTGAACCCGAGTGGTTTTCAGTTGTTGGACTTCTGTGCTAGTCACAGTTTGTCCATCACGAACACCATGTTCGAGCACAAGGGTGTCCACCAGTGCACGTGGCACCAGGACACCCTAGGCCGGAGGTCGATGATCGACTTTGTTGTTGTATCATCTGACCTTAGGCCGCGTGTCTCGGACACTCGGGTGAAGAGAGGGGCGGAGCTGTCAACCGATCATCACCTGGTCGTGAGTTGGATCCGCTGGCAGGGGAGGAAGCCGGTCAGACCTGGCAGACCCAAGCGTGTAGTGAGGGTCTGCTGGGAACGTCTCGCTGAACCCCCTGTCAGACGGACTTTCAACTCACACCTCCGGGAGAGCTTCTCCCAGGTCCCGGCGGAGGAGGGGGATATCGAGTCTGAGTGGACCATGTTCTCTTCCTCTATCGCTGATGCGGCGGTTCGTAGCTGTGGTCGTAAGGTCTCTGGTGCTGGTCCCGGTGGTAACCCCCGAACCCGGTGGTGGCAGTAAGGGATGCCGTCAGGCTGAAGAAGGAGTCCTATCGAGCCATGATGGTTCGGGGGACTCCTGAGGCAGCTGTCCAGTACCGGCAGGCCAAGCGTGCCGCGGCCCGGGCTGTTGCAGAGGCAAAAACCCTGGGAGGAGTTCGGAGAGTCCATGGAGCATGACTATCGGTCGGCCTCGAAGAGATTCTGGCAAACCGTCCGGCGCCTCAGGAGGGGGAAGCAGTTCTTTGCCAACACAGTGTATGGTGCGGGTGGAGAGCTGCTGACCTCGACTGGGGATATTGTCGGACGGTGGAAGGAATACTTTGAGGTTCTCCTCAATCCCCCCGTCACGTCCTCCGTCCAGGAGGCAGAGGCTGAGGATGTTGGGGCGGATACTTCCATCTCCCTGGCAGAGGTCACCAAGGTGGTTGGCAGCCTCCATGGTGGCAAGGCGCCGGGAGTGGATGAGATTCGTCCTGACTATTTAAAGTCTCTGGATGTTGTGGGACTGTCTTGGCTGACACGTCTCTGCAACATCGCGTGGCAATCGGGGGCGGTGCCAATGGAGTGGCAGACCGGGGTGGTGGTCCCTCTCTACAAGAAGGGGGACCGGAGGGTGTGTTCCAAGAATCGTGGGATCACACTCCTCAGCCTCCCCGGTAAGGTCTACTCCAAAGTACTGGAGAGGAGGCTACGGCCGTTGGTCGAATCTCGGATTCAGGAGGAGCAGTGTGGTTTTCGATCCGGCCGTGGAACACTGGACCAGCTCTATACTCTCCATCGGATACTCGAGGGTCCATGGGAGTTCGCCCAACCTGTCCACATGTGCTTTGTGGATTTGGAGAAGGCGTTCGACCGTGTTCCCCGGGGTGTCTTTTGGGGGGTCCTCCGGGAGTATGAGGTCCGGGGTCCTTTATTGAGGGCCGTTCGATCCCTGTATGACCGGAGTCAGAGCTGTGTTCGCATTGCCGGCAGTAAGTCGGACCTGTTCCCGGTGCATGTTGGCCTCCGCCAGGGCTGCCCTTTGTCACCGGTTCTGTTCACTGTATTTATGGACAGAATTTCTAGGCGCAGCCAGGGGCCGGAGGGGGTCCGGTTTGGCGACCACAGGATTTCATCTCTGCTGTTTGCAGACGATGTTGTCCTGTTGGCTCCAACGAACCAGGACCTACAACATGCACTGGGACGGTTTGCAGCCGAGTGTGAAGCGGCTGGGATGAGAATCAGCACCTCCAAATCCGAGGCCATGGTGCTCGACCAGAAAAAGGTGCCTTGCCCTCTACAGGTGGGTGGAGAGGTCCTTCCTCAAGTGGAGGAGTTCAAGTATCTCGGGGTCTTGTTCACGAGTGAGGGAAGGATAGAGCGCGAGATTGACAGGCGGATCGGTGCAGCGTGCCCAGTGATGCGGTCGCTGTATCGGACTGTCGTGGTGAAGAGGGAGTTGAGCCGAAAGGCAAAGCTCTCAATTTACCGGTCAATCTTCGTTCCCTCCCTCACCTATGGTCATGAGCTTTGGGTAATGACCGAAAGAGCGAGATGGCGGATACAAGCGGTCGAAATGAGCTTCCTCCGCAGAGTGGCTGGGCGCTCCCTTAGAGATAGGGTGAGGAGCTCAGTCACACGGGAGGAGCTCGGAGTAGAGCCGCTGCTACTCCACGTCGAGAGGAACCAGTTGAAGTGGCTCGGGCATCTGTTCCGGATGCCTCCTGGACGCCTCCCTGGGGAGGTGTTCCGGGCACGTCCCACCGGGAGGAGGCCCCGGGGAAGACCCAGGACACGCTGGAGGGACTATGTCTCTCAGCTGGCCTGGGAACGCCTTGGGGTCCCCCCGGACGAGCTGGAGGAAGTGTGTGTGGATAGGGAAGTCTGGGCGTCTCTGCTTAGACTGCTGCCCCCGCGACCCGGCAACGGATGAAGCGGAAGAAAATGGATGGATGGATGGATGGATGGTCTTAAGGCAAAGTGGGGTTAAGTGTCTTGCCCAAGGACACAACGACAGAAGTCATCAGTGGGAGTTGTGAAGTAGGTCTTGTAGTGGGCTCAAACCCAAGACGTTCAGGCCCAAAGGCTAATGCTCTACCAACTGAGCCACTGTCGCCCGCCCTAAAGATGGAGGCCAAAAATACAAAACTCGGGATGGGAAGTACCGCAAATTAGATTTTTTTATTACTTAGTTTAATTTTTTGGGGTCTGAAAAGTAAGATGCTCTAATCATTTATAACATTCCTAACTCATTGCAATTTTTATGTTAGGAGGAAAAACGGAAGAAGAGAGAACGGGAACAAAACGAGACCGAAGCTTCTTCCGCCAGCGCCGTAATTCCAGAAGAAAAGTTTACACCAAAACCAATTAGCATTTCATTGGAGGTAAGTCAGACTGCTGTGCACGCTGCTGTGTGTATCAACTGTTTACGTTTTGTGTTCATCGTTCCAAAGCCAGAGGAGAAGAAAAAGAAAAAGGAAAAGTTTGACATCGAGCAGGATTTAGAAGAGTTCCATCCAAATATGAAAGTGGACGTGGAGCAGCAAGGAGATCGCCCAGTCAGATCATGCAGGACGCAACACGGCAAGCTACCAATCATTTAAATATTTTGATGTTATTTCAGATGGATTTTGTTGTTTACTTTGTGTTTACAAAGCAGAAAGTGAATCCACTCCGAGACAACAGTTGCTGGAGCACTTTATACGGCAGCTACAAAGGTGAAAATGCATTTACAGTACTTTGTCTTTCTTCTTACCTATATCTATCTAATCTCCTTTGCTGAATCATTTTGTGTTTCTTTATAGGAAAGATGCCCACGGCTTTTTTGCGTTTCCAGTGACTGACGCAATCGCTCCGGGTTATTCCATGATCATCAAGCATCCCATGGACTTTAGCACTATGAAAGACAAAATTGAAAACAACGACTACAACACAGTGACAGAATTCAAGGTGAGACGATAAAATGTATCTGAGAATATGAAAGTTAAACATTTGCAAAAGAAAAAACCTTTATCTTTGTCCTCCAGGCTGACTTCAAACTAATGTGTGACAACGCCATGGTGTACAACCGGCCAGAGACCGTTTACTATAAAGCTGCTAAAAAGCTGCTTCACACAGGATTCAAGATGATGAGCAAGGTAAATGATCATATGCAGAAAGGCACTTGTAGAGCACAGACCTCCACCAAGAGCCACAGTTCCACCCAGATAGTGACAGGGCAAGGGACAAATAATACCTGTTTACAAGATCTACTGTAAATAGAATAATAATATTTTTGGGGCCACAACTTCTTCTGATATTGTTGGCAGAGAAATATCAAACCTTGTTAAGTTTTTGTATTTGTATTTAACTAATTTTACTTGTTAAAATTAGTATCTAGTTTTTGAGGATATTATAACATTTTAGATCAATATTAAGATTTCAAACTTACCAAATATGTTCATGAACCAAGGCTACCTTAGAATATCATAGCAGACAGATTCATGTTAATTCTTTGACAAAAATGGAGGCAATATATTATGTTCAATTGAAATAATGATTATTTAAGTTACATTATGGTGAAGTTCAAAAAGTCTATTTATTTTTTTGCTTCTTTGACATATTTTTTGTACAGGAAAACCTGGAAATGTCATTGAAAATGCTCCCTATCTTCCAAAAGTGGCATTAAAAAAATATATTTTACCGCTTTTTTTGCAGCGGCTTAAAAATGTCTTCATTTTGACTTGACCAAACCTCAAGTGCCCCAGCCTTTAAGAATATGTCTAGTTTATTTTGTAATCAAATAGATCTTGTTCATTGATGTATGTTTGCACAGTGCGGAACCAGGTTATAATTACACTGTGACTTTTTCCAGGAGCGGTTGTTGGTTCTCAAACGCAGCATGTCCTTTATGCAAGAGATGGACTACACTCAGCAGGCAGCCATCCTCGGGGACGAAGATCTCACGGACGATTTGCCTCCTCCAGAGATCCTGCCTATAGCTGTGGACTCCGCAAAGAAGTCTCGGAAGCAACCAGCCAAAGAAGTGATCAGGTACAACTTACTTTTCCATGAAAATTTTGTCGTACATTAAAATTATTGCTTTTTTCTGTAAGCCCTTCAACACAATTTGCATATACGATGTACCACTAAAACACCACTAGAGGGATGGTTGCTTGAAACGTTCCCTGGGCCTATATGTATGTGTATATGTATGTCTTCTCAGTGCACTGATATGTTTCAGCAAGTAACTTAATTATTTTCTTAAAGGACAACTAAACACCAAATCAACTTTTTTTAACTCATAAACTGCATAAATATGTTTCTTATAGTGCTCCTGGTTCTTTTTTATTTTAGTGCAAATTAGACAAAATCACACTTTTCTGCCTTGAACAGTCCTTGTGGCGCCCTCTCTACCTTTTTGGTGGCACTACATTTGAATTTTGGATCTGGCCTCTCCATTGGCTCTGGAGTACTGTGTGACGTCAGTTGATACTGTGATGTGCGTCTCTCTGCGCCAACTCTCACACGCCTCAGGAGCAGGTTGGAGTATTCTGGCGACATCTAGTGGATTAATATTTAATTACATCAGTTGACTGCCACTTCTTAATTCTGTGGCTTAGGTTCAGGTGTGTAGCTTTACAATTATCTTAGTGTGTAAACATGGGTGGAATGAGACTTTCTGGTGTGTAAACTATTGCTTTAAGCAGCAATAACAACTGCCTGTTTTTTTTGTTTGACAAGCGAGCTGTCAATCACAGCCCAGACCACGCCCCACTGTAAACCCCCTTCTTGGGCCCCGTCCCAATACTCGCACTTCCACCCTCGCGCCCCTCATTTGCGCGTTCCCGATAAAGGGTGCGAGTGCTTCGGGTGTCCCAATTCTCCAGGGAGGTCTTTGGCCCCGCCCCCTTTGCGCCCCTGATCCACACTTCGCCGTAGCCTGCATCTATGCGCACTCTGGCGAAGGATATTGCCCATAATTCTTTGCGGTACACACCAAAACATCGGGAAAATGCATTTAAATATAAATTTCTAAATGTATATGCAGTATGTGTGTAAATAAGTTTTGCTATGTTACTTGGAAAGAAGCATAAACGGACATTGTGTTTTAACAATTTAATAACTTTTTAAAACAAGCGTTTATATAACATTCAATTTAAACTTTACACTTAGTACAATAATCTTAGAATGTATAAAAACTGACCAGCTAGTTAGTTACCCACATTTAACTTAAAATTACACAGCTATCTCTAATTAAAAACAACTAATATACATGTATTTAACGTGTGTGAAGCAATTCATTTTGTTTCCCAAAGGGTCAGACAAAAATTACCTTTAATGTTTATAAAGTTTAGGTCTGAAAATAACCATCTCTTGACGAGTCGATGACGTGACCTGCACTCAGTGTGCACTGTCCCAATTCCGCCTTTTTTGCACACTTGTAACCTGCGCACTCGAACCCTTGCGTGCACTTCAAACAAATGCACACTTTGTAGAGGTGTGTAGGGTGCAGTGTGGGTATTGGGACTGGGCCTTGTCCTCTGGTCCTCCGGGCGACACCCTTTTTAGAGAACATTTTCAAATGTTCATGTGGGCGGAGTCAGGCTTGGCACTGGTGTTTAGTTGCTCTTTAAGTACTGTGCTTAATCATTTTATTTCCATTAACTTTGTGGTTTCAGACATAAGAAACAGGTTTAGAGTGGTCAGCCTTTTTCTTTTTTGGAAAACAACAAAACAAACTCCTCCCTTTGGTGGTAGCTCTGGTGGCTGATGCCATTATTTAACTTTGATACTTGTTTCACCATATATTTTCTACTTAAAATATTACTTAACATTCTAAAACATGAAAGGACAAAGTAAACAGTCTCATTATCATGTTTAATTTTTAAGAATAATGCGTAATATTTCTTCTTTAAGTACCTACCACTAGTACTTTTGCCAAATCTGCCAAAGAGATACAGATATATCCACATGGATCCATGCACGGTTATAGTAGCTGCTTTCCTTCATTTCCTTTATTGCTCTGTCTGTTCTCAGTTACCTCTTTGAGCAGGAGGGAAACGCCTGCAGTCTGACAGACAGCACAGCAGAGGAGCACGTTCTGGCTCTTGTTGAACACGCGGCAGATGAAGCTCGCGATCGAATCAACCGATACATGCCCAACTCCAAGGTGAGACCTAACTCCAACAGCTTTCCTCTGTCAGGACCACTGCATTGTCATATTGTGTCATTTCAGATTGGTTATTTACAAAAAGAAGCAGAGGGAAATCTACTCTATTCAGTTGTGAATCAACTGGATCCTGATGCGACCGGTGAGGCTTCATGTTAATGTTAAAGTTTGTGGCTGATTTGTTTCTTCTAATACATTTTAATTACTCTTTATATGTAGAAGAGGAGATCCATAAAATAGACCTCAGTTCACTGTCCCACAAGCTTCTCCCAGGGTTAACAACTCTGGGATTCAAAGACGACAGACGCCACAAAGGTCCGTCCAGTTCAAATGCCTAATGATTATTGTTGAATTTGATGTAAATTGTTTATTTTATAATCGATTCTTTTTTCAGTGACATTTTTGAGCAGTGCGTACAATGTGCAAAGTCTGCAGAAGAATTCAGTCTTCCCAGATTTGTGTCCTGATGAAGTGGACATGCTGTACTCTGCCTATGGGGATGAAACTGGAGTACAGTGTGCATTAAGGTATATTATTATCTTTATTTATCAGACTCGAAGTCCATAAAAAACAAACAAACACATCACAAACACAACAGACAAACAGTTATAAAAGAAAACTATACCAGAGCTTCCACAGAGCTGACTGGTAGCGCACAGAACTCATACTGGGGTTCACCAGAGACCGCACAAAATAGTTCAATCAATCAATCAAATTTTATTTATAAAGCGCTTTTCATACAAAAAGTGTAACACAAAGTGCTTTACAGTTTAGTTAAAAACAATCCAACATGCCCAGCCCTAAACCCTCCTCCCCACAGACCCCCCAAAACCACATTTATAATTATATATACAACCACATGCGTATACACACACACACACATATACACACACACAGACACATATACACACACACAGACACATACACAAGTATAAAGTAATATCAGGTAAAATAGGTAAAACAATAAAAAGAATTGGGGCTGGGAGCAGATGTAACCGGCTGAAGAAGCGTCATCCAAGGAGCCATCTGCACCAGGAGCAGAGAGCCGGCTGCAGCCACAGGCAACGACACAGGACCCAGAGGAGAGAGGGGCCCCAGACCCCACCAGGCCCAGGACTCAGACCCCATAGGACCCAGAGGAGAGAGGGGCCCCAGACCCCACCAGGCCCAGTTCTCACTGACATTCAGACGGCATATAAACCTGTACATCATATTTCTCATGAGAGCATGGAAAGAGTTCACACGACTCTGACAGAACAGCAGACTAGCACTACTGGACCTGGGCTTTTTCAGCAGAATCCTGAAAGCATCATTATATGCAATATAATATTGTATTATTGTATTTGTTCAATTATAATATACAATAGAGCGTTGGCTTATTTTTAAATTCCCTTTGTACAGTATGCAAGAGTTTGTGAAGGGCTGTAGCAGCGTCACAAAGCGTTTGGTGGATGGTCTTCTGGACAAAATGACTGCGGGAGATCACACTAAGGCTGTGCATCAGATCAGACAGGTGATTTAACTTAGGATTTTCTCTGGCGATTGTGTCGTTGTGACCAAACATAATATAATATAAACACCTCGTTCCAGAAAAGGAATATGGCACTTAAGCCTGATGACACCAAAGGCGGCATTTGTGACATTCAGGTATGATACTTTTGGTACTATGGTAATGTTATTGCACTGATTCTAACAATAACACAATGTTTGTTAGATGTCAGATGGCACTGGTTTGGGAGACAGCGGCTCTGTGCTTGATTTTATGTCTATGAAGAACTATCCTGACATGTCACTGGATATTTCCATGTTGAATTCTTTGGGTAAAGTCAACAGAATGAATATGTTAGCTGCAGTTCAATTTTCATCAAGATTAATTCTGAGCTGTCACTTTGTAGGAAAGACATTAAAAAAAGAACCAAGTAACGAGGAGCAGCAGAACTTTGAAGAAGCAGACAAACTGCTGCAGGAGTTTCAGGATGCTCAGGTCGAGAGAGTGGGATCTCGACCATCATCTAACCTGTCGTCTCTGTCCAATGTCTCAGAACGAGACCAGCATCATGTTGGTACGTGGGAAAGCTTTATATGTAACAGTTTTTACTCCATTTCAATCTTCTGGTCACTGCATGTGTCTGATATTTGCTCTGTCCACAGGGAGTCCGTCACACCTGGGTGACCAGTCTGAGCTGGTTCATGACCCCTATGAGTTCTTACAGTCTCCAGAGCCTGAAGGTTCAGGCAGCTGATCACACAGAGCTGTGTTAACAGCATCCCACCTCTAATGATCGACTGTCACATGCCATTACCTACCCATGCTTGTACAGACTATTTGTAAGGAATAGTGAATTTGTATGTAAAAAATGAATAAATATGTCTGTTTTTACGTAATTGTGTACCTTTTTGTAAATTAAATTTTTATACATCGATGTGAAGCATAGCAACAGAGGGGATTGTGGAGAGAGCATTTACACATCAGAAGCGAAAAGATCCTAAATAAATTTGTGAGAATCTGATCACAGAATAGTTTATATTGAATTTCTTTATTGGAAGAAGAGGTTCATTTTTACAGCGTTGACCCGTGAATAACAAAATCAGGAGCCATAGATTTATTAGGCAGGAGCCCATGTATAAAGCCTTTGCCTCATATGTGCTGCGCATGCGCGGAGAGTTTCCATAGCGCTGTACGAGTGTGTTGCTCTGATCAACTTGATTCGCGTCCTTCACTTCTGACTGCACACACTGGAAAATACTCCTTTTACTTTACAAGCATAATGTTTACGCATCGACTCGAGTGTGTATAGTTTTCAACAATGTGAAACCTCCCAAAGCACCTGCAAGGCTCGTCATAATGGGCTTACAAACTCTGGAAATCTCCGCTTGGATTTGGACTTAATAACGCTGGAACCAAATACGCTGGATTTATTGTGAGCAAAGTAAGTTTAACAATGTGGCACCTTCACCTTTTTCTATGTCTTTTGTTTTCCACTAAAATTGCTGACTGCGCTGTTTTGTGTTTCTAACGCACGGATAATTTGGGGAGAACTGCCTCCTTGACAGCTTGGCAACCTGTCTTTGCAAAACCAAAGGGAAAAGACTTTATTACCGGTCTATAGTCTACAGATGGTTTTCTACTATAAGCCTACTGCCAGGAGCGTAACATTTGATCCTACATTATTATGTTGGATTAGAAATGTAACCTTATTTTGTTCATTTGTGCTGATAAAACACACAGCAAAATGCATATACTATTATTTCTACAATACTAACTATAATGATGATAGCCAGCTTTCTTAGTTTTTATACTCGCATGGATTGGATTGAACAGTCGTATGGTCTTACTATCAATACTACAAATTATAAGCTGTAGTATTCAATAAAAAGTGGGTAATTTCACGTGGAACCTTTCTGTGTGCAAAGCGGGTTAATTATCTTTATATGTATGTTAACAGATGGATAGAGTATAGAGAATGAGATTATATGTTACATTGTAGGTTTTGTTCCTGTTATGGTGACCTGGTTTTATTTTGATATATCGGTTATTTTCAGTGTTACTCTATGGCTGTTTAGTTGATAGCCCTAATGTGTTTCACCTGTGTTTTCCATTGTCTTTAGTTTGGATTTCTGTTATAACCTCAATTTAGTTATTTTTTTCAATTTTGTGTATTAACTCTTGGAAGTCCTGCATTTTGGGGCCTTCTCTTTTCACCACTTGACAGTCCCTACCTCAGCAGCGTACATGTCTATTATAATAGATCCATGGTACATGTACAAAGGCCTTTATTATTGCAATGCTAATTTACATAGCTCATTTCCTCAGCAAATGAAGCCAAGGAAGCAGTATGCAACACAATACTATGCACCAGTAGAAAACATTGGTCAGGGGTCTCCTTCTTGTAGCTCTGGAGCAACTTGTATCTCACCACCCTCTTCAGAGTAGTTCTCAAGAGGAAAATGCTGATTATTTTAAAAGAAAAGGCCTTATATAAATAAAGATTATTTACAAATATTTAAAATCATGTCATGATGCCTACAGCTAATGCATACTTTAACATGCACTAACATGTTGATGATGGATTGTTTCTACAGAGTATATATTTTTACATTTTCTCCTGGTGGTGTGCCGCAAGATTTTCTCAATGAAAAAAGTGTGCCTTGGCTCAAAAAAGATTGAAAAACACTGCCTTAGACGCACAGACAGAATCATGGACTCGTGTACAGGACCATCTCCTGTGTCTCCTCCCGAAGCACAACCAAAACTCCTGAATTTAAAGCTTGGATTCGCAAATTTTCTCCATGCATCAACAATGCATGTTATTTGTGCCCAAAAGTAAAATGTTGTGAACAAAAAACACTGAATATGCAACAGGCCCTTTTTTTATTATCATTTTGCGTACTTAAGAGCCCTGTGAGTCATGGTTTGACTTTTTGGGATGAGGGTGAATTTTTTAATGTTTTTTTTTTTTTTTCCCACACAGTTAGTGCCACTTTATTCCCAAACTCTTGTTAACTCCTTTGACCTGATCCAGTGTCTCCCAAAGTGGGGTCCGCGGCCCCCTGGTGGGCCGCGAGGGTACTGCAGGGGGGCCGCGGGAGGTCATAAAAAAAAATTAAAAAAATTATTTAATGTTAAATTTATAATGTTTTGTTTGTAATATTAAAATATTTGTGTTCATTATTTGACTTGAATAATCCACTGTAATCATTTTTGTATTACAATGTTTGTAGCAGAGACTATTTCCCCAAAATAAAATAACCAGAAGAGCCTATTCTTAATGTTGTCTTCTTGGTTATTATTTTGGGGGGCCACGCAGACCCGTCAGATTTTTAAGGGGGCCTCGGTGTTACTGAGTTTGGGAATGGATGACCTGATCTATTGAACATGTTGAACAAGAGAAAGGGCCTGTCTGGTGGTGTAATCTTTTTATTTATTTATTCATTTATTTGAAACGGGAAAGTGCACATTATTCAACATTATCCAATGTAAATGTCCCTGAGTTAGCTAAATTGAGCTCGATTTCATCAGTAGTCCCGTAGGCAGTGGTTTACAATTTACAAATACAATACAATACATTAACACCGAAGGAAAACAAAAACAATACATTTGCCTTACAGTTAGTGGTCACAAGACTGTTTCTCCACAAGCCACTTCTTTGCGTTCTTTTTGAATGAATTGAGCAAGGGGGATTCTCTAATGGCCTCAGGTTCTGTGTTCCACTGTTGAGACGCTCTAGAAAACTGCTTGGCCTAAGGCAGTTTTCCTGCAAAGGAGGATGCAGTCTTCCCTGACTGACCCTCAAGTGACTGCCTGTACTCAATCTAATGAAACCCAGGACCACCATGCTGCCCTTAATCTTGTTTATATTTTCAGGGCAGGCCATATTGTGATTGTTTGATTGGTATAAATGTAGTAATGTAATGTCTTTCTGAAGCATTATGATGTTCATCAAAATGTGCTACAGTGAGTCTGGTATAGTTGCAACACTGAAACTTTCCCACGATACTATGATCTTATCTTCTTTTGCAGATGACCTGTTGCAAGCAGAGTTTAAAGCGCACGGCCCCTATACGCAGCGGCGGCAGCAAAAATGAGCTGGTGCCTTCCAAACCGGCCCGCATGAATGGCTGGTCATGGCCTCCCCAAGCTGCACAAGTCATAGGCTGGCTTGTGTTCATCTATATGGCCATTGTAAGCTTCGGCATCTATACCCCTCTTCTGCCTCCTCCATGGAGCCATGTGCTCTATGCAGTATCCTTTGCACTGGATCTCAGCTGTGGGAAGATCATGTGATGAGAAATGCATCTTTCAGAGTCCACATAAGTCTGTCCGTTGTGTTTAGGATAAAGATAGACAAGGCGTGTGCTGTGTAATGCTTTGGGCTCCTGCGGTCAGACCAGTTGTGATTGTGCCCAAAAGACTCTTTATCAATTGACCTACTGTCACAAGATGAATACCTCGTGATCACATCTAGTTTATTGGAGGCTTAACTTGAACTTTCTGATGGGGACTGCCACGCTCTTCAAAGATTCAAAGTTATCAAAGTACTCTTTTTTTTTTTTTTTTTTTGTCACTTGGGGAAAAAGTTTTTAAATGATAATTTACAAAGAAACAAAATAACAAGAGGATGTCTCACAAAGCTGGTTATATATATCTCACACATGCTGTTTTTTCATGCCTATACTTTGGTCCATTAATAGTATAGTGTGACTAATGCACACAAAGTGCAGTAGAACCCTTAACGTGCTAGGGTTAGGGTTAGGTGCGTCACAACTGTTGGGATAAATGTAGTCCATAACCTTTTTGTATCGTACCAGAAGCCCCAAAGCGCTGCCCTGAGGGTAAAGCTGCCAATGTCTGAACGACGAGTTCAGTCAATCGGAGGTACTGCCCTGCGATGGGCAAAAACGCAGGGTGGAAGTGGTTGGTGGGCTTTGCTAAAAAGTTTAAGTACTTCCGTATCGGTGGACATGTTGGCGGCACTTGTTTACAGTCACAGCAGAATGTTAACTCAGGGTGAAGACTTATGTTCACAAGCGCTGTGGCCCCCACTGTCAGCCCTGGTTTATTTCTGGTTTAGCTCGTATTTTGGTTGTGCCTCAGTCTTTCTGTTTTGACCGGCTTGTGTCCCTGTGACCTCTTTGAGATGTGTCTGTCCTGGCAGTCCTGTCCTTGACCACTGTACACGGAGATAGGCAGCAACCCCAAGGAGAACAAAGCCACAAATACAAATTAAAAAAACTGTTGTTTTTGCTTTGGAGTATGTTCCTTATGAAACTTTCATTGTCACTTGACAATAAAGATGGCAGTCATTTTTTTATTTTTGTGATCTTGCCTTGGTTCTATTGCAAACAAATCATCTTCTTTTGTGATATTCCTTCTATCTTCACATTCATGTCCTGACTCAGGAATATCTTTCATTTTGTCTTAAACGTTACTGAAAAACTATTTTGAACTTGTAGGACACTTGGCTGACCCATTCCAATATGAGTCCTAGGAATCTTGTTTCATATTGAATAAATGTACTAATTCTGCTGGTAGTGTCCATGTAGAGCATGTTGGTTAATGGCACATTGTAGAGTAAGGATATGTCTTAAGTTTCCATATTCTGCCTTAACTTTGTTTTCAGCTTATAGGAATAGCATTTATTTTACATTTCGTCTTTCACCTGGCAGCAGAGATCATAGACCCAGCCGATGCCAGCGTGAGAGCCAAACAGACCTACTCCAACCCAATGCCGCTGTTCGATCGCACGAAGCAGCCGCATGTCATCCAGGACCTGCACTGTTACCTGTGCGACGTCAAAGTGTATGTGCTGCTTTCAAATGCAGAAGTCAAATATCTTTAACCAAATGATTGTAGTCTGCTGAAATGACGATTGTTTTGCCTTTAAAGAACAAATATATGATCCATTCAATTGTGATGACACACACTTTTACATAATTTGATGGGAACATGCAGAAAACTGCTCTGTTCATGGCGCTATAGTAACATTTGTGCCAGAAGTTCTCTCATTTGTCTTCATACAGGGGTCCAAAGGTGAAACATTGTGGCGTGTGCAACAAGTGTGTGACTGGTTTCGATCATCACTGTAAATGGCTGAACAACTGTGTGGGAGGCCGAAACTACTGGTGAGGACGGTGAATGGTGATCCTGCCACAGAAAGCACTGACGTACAGTAAAGAGTGTGTCACAGGCTCTTGATTGATATAAATCTACTGTTTTGAATGGAAAACTATAAAATATGTATAATTGTAAAATGCAGTCATAAAAGGACACTCTTCCATATTGCCACAGATTAATCACTGCTTATTCCCTATTGCTTAAGTATATTTACTAATATTCTTTTTCTATAAATTGATTTTATTTATGTCACAGCTCTCATTTCTAACACTGCTTTTTTCCTGTGCTTGTTCCCCTTTTAGGTACTTTTTTGTTGCGTTGTGTTCTGCTACATTTGGAACACTGTTGTTGTTTATAGTCATTTTATTCATATTCATCCAGCACTTTCTGGACCCAAACAACTTGAGGACTGCGCCACAATTCAGTAGTAAGTAATCAAGAAAATGCATTAGCCTGTTTTACTCGTATCCCCAAACTTCATTGATCCAGGAGAAGAATTCCTTAAAGCAGTCAAATTGGGAAACTAAAGTAGCAAACTCAAATCGTTCATGTATTTTCTCCACGATTGACAGACTTAATGGCGAATGAGACGTGGCTGGTGTTTTTGCCGGCCGCTCCTCTGCAGACCTCGTCGTCTGGTCTCCTGGCTGTGGCCTTCATCACAGTTGTGTTGTGCCTCATCAGTTTGCTGCTGCTCGGACATCTCCTCGGCTTTCATCTGTTCCTATGTGAGAATATTCCATCAGTTTATACATTTATGCAGTTTTACAAAAATCTGCAACTAAAAATGCACACGCATACAAATAGTAGCATCACATGGGAGTAGCAAAGGAATCAAAAACATGCAGGTAAATGGCATGTTGGTCCACTCCTTTATGAAGGCGACACCAATGGTTGAAACATTATATCGTTTATCGACCTCCCTGACTATGAATTATCGGTATAAGCCATGAAATAACCATATCGGATAACTAGTTTTAACCATATCACGACATAGTTCCCTCATGACCTGTTGTTTTTAGCTCCATTGCTAAATGTTGCGATGCTATTTACCAAACGTGGTCGGGACCTTTCATATTTGGATGTTTCATGTAACTACACAAACTGGTTACCAAGAGGACAAGATGAGAATTATCCATGGTACAGTGTAGTTTGACCAGCCAGACTCGCATGATTTAACAATACACTTCTGCTTTCATGGTGTCAGAAGGTAGAGAAATGAGAATTGAGATGCACACAGCGAGTGCCCAAATTGACACCTACAGAGATGTAAAAACTTGTTACTGTAGTAAGTCTCGTTGTCCTAATTCTATTATAATTTATAGTAAGATAAATTCACAACACCATAATATCACAATACTCACAATAACCCTTTACCATAAAACAGCATAATACACACCACATTTAAAGTTATCATCTGAATCAGAATCCGAATAATTTGACTTCTTCTTATCTTACTCTGAATTTGTAACTTTATCTGTTGTGCAGTGTACAAGGGGATAAGTACATATGATTATATAAAGAAGCAGCGGCAAAAAGAAGCCAGGAACAAAGACCTAGAGGTGGAAAAGTCCAACGAAATGAAACATCACAGCAAGACTACGAAGGTGAGACATGTTAGCACCAATACCACACAAAACAGACCTGACAAACTGAAGGTGGATATTCAATAGGCTTCACAATGATGATCAAACAAAAGCCCTAACTCTAAAAGTCACAATGCACCTATAGTGAAGGTTTTATTTTATTTCAATCCGTCTCATTTCAGAGTCAAACAAACTCCATTAACTGTGAACATAACTCGGCCCCTAACTCAAGGTAGCACCTCTATTCTTTTCTATAAAGCATTTACCCACACTGATATTCTTAGTAAACATAGAAATAATGCCTTTTATTTTACAGTGCATGTGAAAAACTGTCATTTGGAAGTCGCCTTTCGGAATCAATTTGCACAGAGGTGATTGTACTGATGCTGCCTTCAAGTGCTATGGGGAAGATGGTTATTGGTGAAGTGGAATTCTTGGACATGGTGTTTACCCTAAATAACAAAAAAACCTGTTTTTTGGGTGTGGGACATTTGATCTTTATGATCTGTACTAACACTACAACCACTGAGCAGTTGCTCGTTCTGACCCAGTGGTCTCGATTTCAAGCCACACAAGGTTAAGGTCTGGGTGTGATGTATGATGCAGATGTGTAACCACTAAAACTGCACAAACTATTTTACTTTGCATCCAAAGTTTAGCACATAGATGGACAAATATACCCCTACATTTTAAATGATCAAATTATGCATTTTCTTATTCTTTTATCAGTAGAGAAGGTGTACATTTCGTCTTGCAAAGGAAAACAAAGAAACCAAATGCAATCATTCTTAAATTTGAGAATGTATAGCTGATTGGATTGAAACAAAACCGGGCCAAAGACAATGAAGGCTCAATGTTTTGGCTAAACTGTGTTATACCTGCAACAAAATACTGACCATTTGCAATATTTTTATTACTTTCCACCATTTTGAAGATCAAAAATGATCTCATCTAAGGCCAGTATGTAAAATACTGGCCAAAAGTGGAACTGCAACCTTACCCACTCTGCCTGACGCAGGTTGCCAGATATGCAGACAAAACGTGATATCTGAATAGACAAGAGTTTTGTAAACGACAAATCTATAACCAATACCTTTTTCACAAAGGCCTCGATAGAAATCCTCGTTTTATTCCTTGTTTTGTTGTAAATGATTTGAGAATCATAACGAGACCTTTTTTAGTTCTGCAGCCACATTTAATGATGACTTGACATGAAAATCTTAGATATTGTTACTTTAACTCAGAATGATTTCCCAGTTCCCCATGCGGGGCCATTTCCCTCTCTGCAAGTACCATAATCCCCGTAGTAAATGAAGGCAGCTCTGTTCCTTCTTCATGGGAAGGTTTTCTATCTGACTTATCTATTCTTGTGTAGTTGGAGAACTTCAATACTCCCGCTGAAAAGGACAGTATTCATTATGGCACCGACAATTCTACAGATTTAGGTATGCTGTTTTTCCTTTCTTTTACAGTGCGTCACGTAAAATCACCTAAATACAAACTTTTTTCAGGGGTACTGTCTGAAAGCAGATTCTGGGGAGAGCCTCCACCCTTTGTCCCTGATGTTTCTGAGCATCTGCGGTCGGACAGTGTTCCCCAAAGTCAGGACGCTCTGGGCAGCTGCATCATGATCCCCGATGAGACCAGACTGCACCCATAGTCCTCATAGTGTCGACGGGTCAAATTTGCACTCTTCTGGTTTATTATATGTCCATTTCATTCTTGATGATTTAGCCAGTGTCCTTGTTTTTACACACAAATTGGCATTGTGATAGAATACAGCTTTAGTATAATTTTTTCCACATTTCTTTATATCAATATCAATATCTTTATGCCACAGGGCCAAAAGCCACGGCATCTGTTTTTTGAGTACTTCTTCCACCACTGGTCTAACATGTATGCAGTCAAAATATATGATCTATTTAAAGAAGAAATATGACACATTATATTACATTACTGCATGGCGACGCCTCTCCCATCACTGTGTGGCGCTTAGTGAAAGGTTCTATATAAATAAAGATAATTTACTATACGTTGCCATTGCAATTTTAATGTGACTATTTACTTTGTCATTTGATGATTTTGAATATGAAATATCTGAAGTAAATATTATATAATTATATATACATACATACATATTTCACACATACATATATAAATAAGTATGAAGAGTAAGGGTGCAACTGCTTTAGTTTATGAGAAATTGTTTAAACTAATTTATGGCCAAAAGTTTTAAAAGGCAAAGAACTGCGCCGTGTGTTTGATGTCATAGTGATGACATCATAGTGATACTATGACATCATACTATTACAGGGTAGACACAGGAGCTTTTAGACCAGAGGTCAGGAACCTGTGGTAGATATTCTGAGACTAATATTACACACAAAATTAAATTAAAATAAATTTAAAAAAATTATTTGTTATATCATATGTCATATTCATATAAGGCTGAAACACATTTTAAAGTATGAGACCGATTTGGCTCTCTATGGCTAAAAAGGTTCCCAACCTGTTTTAGACAAAAGGGGTGGAGTTAAATGTTTGTGCCTGAAGTGTCTGAACAACATGAAATATTAAAATAAATTCAGAAATGTCAATTATGTATATGTCTCCTTTAAGTGAAAGTACAAGGGGAGGGACTTGTTTCAATATCTTATTGTTGTAAAATACCTATTGTACATACTGTGTGCCATGGTCAGAAATATAATTATTACAAAAATAAAATACAATTGATGTTGCCTTTAATTGAATTAAAATACAGTTGTATTTTGAAAACATTACTTCACACAGAGAAAACGTTGCATTTTAATTACTTAAAAAAATCTTATCTGTCGTTTCAATTTCAAGTTAATCCATTGGGATACAGTTCTTGATACTTTTTGGGTCTTTTTTTTTTTTTTTCTTTTTACCAAACAGACACTAATATTATTTCTAATGTTTAAGATGTGTGTCTAATCAGTTGTGTTTTTGAACAGGTATGTGCAATTACATCCCATCACTAATTTACCATGTATTTGATTGACTTTAAAATATTGAATGAACTATTGAGTCTGTAGTAATGTGTCCACTTTCACCACATAGGGGCGCAATTGATGCATATTACTACGTGAATTATGTCATCCTGTGTTTACTCTTGGCTCGGACACATTTCATCATATATACATACTGCTCTTATCTCCCAGACACAGACAATGCACGTTTCGACCAGTCGCCTCTCAGAAGAACAATGACAATATACTGTGTTGATAAGGAGGAGATATTACCAGACAAGTGGTTACGTAATGCCCAACCACATCCAGCTATTAGGGTTGTCTTTTCTTGTGTAACGCTGGTCACGGCATCCACGGCTATACTACTACATTAAATCTATATAATAAAGCTATAAATCCCCTTTGCGTAAAATAATTCCAATTGTTCCACACATTACCATTGACAAGTCAGACCCCTCTTGATTATGAATTTCAAATGAATTGATCATAAATTGCCCATCCATACAACGCAATATCTAATGACTGTCTAGAATGAGTGGCTTTTGAAGAGGCTCCTCCAACTCACAATGTCATTAAATAGAAACTGCGCACGCATGGCACCTGTTTGTATTGGCGCTTCGCTGGGCAATAACAGTCCATGATAGAACAACAACAAGAGGACCAGGAGACAACAGCGTACAGCCAATCAGCGGGCTGTGTTCTGCTCAGCATCTCGGAGAGGGACTGGAGAGAGAAGAGACTGGAGCTCCACCAGCGGAGAACAGACGCGCGCTGAGGCAAAGGCGACGCGTTATGATGTTTTTGTGATTTTAACGACAATTGAGGCACTGTCTTTGAAGGTAATTCCACCCCGTTTGACCATATTGTTATGTATAAGCCTGTGTTTGGTATTGTCACTGCCTGAGCTGAGCGTACATCAGCTGTTCTGTGATGCTGTGTGCGCGCGTAATAATGCCAGACTTCTTTTGCATGTTCATTTTGCACATTTTGTAGAAAAAAGTGATTATTTTTGCATCATCTCTCGACAAAAACAAAGAAGTCACGTGGATGCCTGGCAAGCCCTGGCGTTTGACAGTTTATGTAACACGTTTTGTGCAAGAATCATAGACCAAGAAGACACAGAGAGACTTTCTGCAGCAGCTGCCGCCATATTCAGTAATATAAACATACAGTATATCAGGCAACGTCTGTGCTGTGAAATGCAGGCAGGGGATAGCTTATCTAGGCCCTGCAAATGTAAATAATAATAAAAATAGAATGTTATTAAGTGGCACCATTATATTGAACAGACTGCTTATCAAAGAGGTTTTTTTATGTGTTTACCTCCTAAATGTAGCTGTATTGTGTGATGATTTGTAGTTTTGGAGTGGCAGGACCCTTATCCTTTCTAAATATGTATAATTGGCAAATTAATCAATGCCATGTGTAATCCGTGAATGAGCTCAACAAGCCTAATTGGCCAATGAAGCTTTTATTCAGTGTAAAGGCCATAGCTATTGGTTTATATTGAAATATTCCTTAATCTCTAATTGGATAACCATAAAAGAGCTCATATCATTACATGTGGCATTCAAGCTGCTGTTGTCAGTAGTAGCATAACTGTGAATGGCTTCGTAATACTATCTCACATAGGTTGGATTAGATATGCATGAGCAGAAGACACACTCACTGAGCGTGTCCCACATTTTATTTTCTGTCCTTGTGTTTCATCGCACTGAACCGAGAGCCTCCGGATTCTGTCACCAACAATTCATCTCAGAACAAGGACTTAATTTATTTGTAATTGTGACTCACATGTGGGTCAAGTTTACCAAATAAAGTGAACTCTAAGGGACAAGATGAGATCATTTGTACATGTGGAAAGACTTCGCTTAGGCTTCATTTCAGATCGGGTCAGGCGATTCTGTAGACCAGGCTGATGATGATTAAGTATATACAAATGTATTTATTTAAGGGTTAGGATTTTCACGTTCCTAATTATAGCTTTAAACATTTATTCTGGTTAGTTTTATTGAGGCTTGCAAAGATTGTGGCATCTGCTCATATGCCGAACAAACTTAGAAAAGTAGAGAACAGACTCACCAGTAAACTGTATTAAGTGGTTTGATTTGTGTATTTAATTTTCATTCTTTTTCTGGGTGGCCTGAAGAACGTATTTTTTCTGTAGATGGACTTGCAACATCCTTATATGCAACGGGATACAACAAAAAGGAATATGGCTGTGCCAGTGGCAACTCCCAGGACAACATGGACAATTAGGTTCTTCCTTGACGACATAACCAATTAGTACATGTTGTTTTGGTAAATACAATAAATGTATCTGCACCAGTATCAGAATCAGAATTTTATTGCCATTGTTGTGAGTAACAGGACACAAACTAGGAAAATGCTTTGGCTCTCGGTACAAACAAGTTAAACAAGTAAAAATAGTACAAGGCATTCATAAAAAGAAATAAAAAATCTACATAACATTTAACAAACTTACTACATACAAATGCACTAAGTACACTTAAGAGACAAGCTATATAACATATATGCACCTGCCTTTTCTGTCTTTTTTCCACTAAAAATACATATTTATGGTTCTATCCCATCAACTTAAGGAACCATTAGAAAACAGAAAACCTGTATGGGATTGCCATGGAGTGCTTTCCCAAAGTCTGTGTTAAATATTCTGTTGATATGCACTTCTTTGCTGATGCCAACTTAGTCAATTGGGTCCAGCGCTATAAAAACACAATCTAATCAAAAGTGTAAACCAACTTTTGTTATTGGTCAAAATTAAAGCAGCAGGATACATGAGCAAAACTCTATTGACAATCCTGAAATAAGGAATAAAAATAAGTTTTCGTCTGGCGTCTAACGAGGACATTCTAGGGTCTATCGGTGGATGTTGAATTTAGGGAATTGTCTTGTTTACATTAAGTGCCGCTGCCGACACAGATTCTGGTAGATCCCCCCAAATGTTGTTTTCCACCCTGGAAATATATCGCAGAGGATGGTGAAACACAGACGGTGGTGACCTCAGACAGGAGCTATGGAAGCTGATGTCATTCTGTTTCCTTCTTTCATAGTGCAAGTGTGAAGGGGCGGCACTGGTGGTCACAGTGTAGGGGAAACAAGCTATTAAGCAAATATAATGAAGAGTTTCTGATGTCATCATAACATTCTATCCATGGTTTTAGAGTCAGGAGAGATGGGGCATCACTAAAAACCTTTGCGTGTTTTTTTTTTATTGCCAGGTGTTCTTGATGTGGACAATGTAAGCCTTAAATGGTAGAAAAGATACACTATGCAGTTGGGACCATGACTATGTTGATGTGAGCTGCTCTCTGTTTGCCTAATAGTAGCTTACTGGTCATCAGCGGTCCCTCAGGGTGAGTTCACAATCAAAGTGAACTCTGGTTTGTTGGGGCTAATTATGTGACTTTTGTGGAGATGTGAAAGCATCACACAACAGTTCACTTGTGAACTCCTATTGGCCGATAAGTGGACTTTTTCAATATAATAGAGAAAAATGGTGAGTATTATCACTATTGTTTTAGATGTCTTTTGTTTAGTGTCATTGGTGGTTGTGTTGGGGTTGGTGGGGTCCTGTGGCGTCACCTGTACAGTAGCTCCACTTCTTTCAGTCTGTCCAATGGCAGCTGTGCCTACAATAGTAGCTTCA